ACACTTACTCCGTACATATTTGACGGGAGTAACTGTATACGTATATTCTCCGTACACAGTAGAAGAGCTTTGAAGTGATGGAGTTGAGTCTACTTGGATCAAGAACAAAATGTTCTGGACCTTCTATGACATTCTGTCTCCCACGTTTTTTTTTTCTCCCTCGCCACCCACACGTCGACCAGATAGGGCGGCGGTCTGCCCTACGTCGTCAGAAAAGGGAAGAGCTGTGGGATGTCGTGGTAGTTGTGCAAAGTGAAAAATACACATATATTGTAACGTACCTTACATACCAGCTCGTATGTTACCGCGTAGAAAACCTGGCACATCTCGAAGGAAAATAAAAAAAGAAAAAAAAAAAGAAAAAAAGAAAAAAGGCACCCGCAACCATGGCTAGCGTGCCCCAGTTGCGTAAGAGAGCTTTTGCACAGCCCCCGTGCCGGAGCTAGTGATCCAGCCTAGACCTTACCAGGCCTCACCCCTCTCAACTCTCAACCTGATGGTTCCGACCAACCCCCTTCCCCTTCCCCTTGCCCTTGCCCTTTCCCTCCCCAAATGTAATAATCTTTGGTCTTCTTGGTACAGCACAGCATGGTCGCTTCTTTCCCGCATTGTGGAAGCATAGCGAGTCATAGTTCATGTAGCAACTTCATCGACTAGGGCTCCCTGCGGTCGATTAGTCAGCCCATAGGCGCCAGGAACCTGTGCAACGCTAACTTACTTACTCCGTACTACAACTCTTGCCTGGTGCTTTGTTTCTCCCCGATCGACCACTGGCTGCAGATCATTGGTGGCTGTCCGCTGGGAAGTGGAGGGCCCTTGACTTTGTGGGGCTCGCCTTAATGAGGGTTAGAAGAGTGGGAGAACAGCCTCGTGGGGTTTTTTGTCGCAGGATGTGGGGTTCAAGCCCTGACTCGGTCACCATATGCCTCTCCTTGGTTACATGGAGGATTTGAGGTCATCGCGTTGCGCGGGTTTCGATTGATTGCTCGATGATCGGACGTTATCAGATTAACACGGTTGAAGGGCTTAGGCGCCGCATCGATTGCATACATAGCTGTGGTTGGCTGGTAGATAAAAAGCTAGAGAAGGTGAGGTCATCTCGGCGCTAGGACAACTGTCTCATAGCTTCCCCTCTCCCCGCTAAAGGATCGACATCCAGGGTCCTTTCCTTCTTTAAACTCGCGACCTTTCGGCACCAGTATCAATCGAGCCTAGACTTAGGTCTATCATATCGTATGCGTGTGCGTAACCTGCGCATCCCTCCTTTTTTCTTTCCTGGCCCGCGGTTTTGACCGCGACTAAAGCCTAAATGCCACCTTTTAACCCGCGAATCGCAGCAAGGGACTGTCTGCTTGCCACGTTTGCTTTGTCTTTTGTTGCCTTTCAACTAGCCACGCAAGCGCAAGCACCCGCAGGGACTCTCGGACATCCTTTGATGAACTAAACTCGATGTGGCTTTGCTGCTTGCGACTCAACTTCGGTCGACCTTACTACCTCCCCATGCGAGGTCGAAAGTGTTCACCAAGTGGCTGCGCTGGCCCCTTGGCATCTCAGCAATACTCGATTCGATTCTATTGAAGCCTGATTGCTGCCTTGTAGATTCTTGCTGGAAAGCTTAGAGGTTGCCCCGCCCATTGGTCTCGTCAGTGGGACTAGGTCTCATTCCAGGCGGCAGGCGAATGCCAAAGGCTGCCTGGGCTGGGCCCCGGATCGTATTCACTTGCTCGGAGATGTCTACTCGAGCTTTCGCCAGGCCGATGGCGGGCACCACCCATTCACTGCAGCTGCATCGCATACCCTGCCAGGCAAATTTTCCAATGTTGGCGCCGCAAGAGGTGTTGGGACAGGTCAAACGACCAGATAACGGAGCGTCTGCTGACGGCGAACCTAGCGGTGCACCCGAATCACCCGACTCGCTTTCTGGAAAGAGACTTGGACGCATCCAGGTCAATGGATGAAGGAAAACATGTGCACACTCGGTATTCGCGAGCGAAGCGCCCGGTTTCTGGGGTCCATGAGGAACAACAAACGGCGTGGTTGCCAATTTGCGTCTGAATATGAAGTCAGTAAGGTTTCGAAATCAAGAACCATAGCTTAAAGAAAGCCACAAAGGCAAGGAGACGGAAGATAAGGATAACCGACCGGCATTTACGACACTTGATCTCCGTCGTATGACCTGTAGATTCCTGTGGCCTGTGCGGTTGTTCGTCCTCGAATAGGACATTATTCATTTCAGGTGCCCGCCCGCAGGCGACACTTTCTTCGACTTCTCGGCGGTAAAGCCATCTGCCATACAGAGGATGGCTCGTGACATCCTCGGGACAGCCCATCTGATGGTAGAGCGAAAGCTGTTCCATGAAGCCATCGTTGGGTTCACAGAGAGGCCGGCTCTCCCTGATGATGGCAAGTGCTGATTGCGGAGTCAGCGCACTACGCTGCTGATGAAGCATGTAGGCAATGCACACAGTTGCAGAACGGGATTTGCCCATTGCACTAAAGAGCAGTTAGTATCCGAAGGTAGTAATTGGTTCATCGTGGGAGGTTGCAATCACAATGACTTACCAATGCACAAGCACCGCGCCGCCGCTGTCCAGTCCCGACTGAATGAACTTGACGGCGGCGGGAAAATGCTCCAGCAGGTTTTCATCATCGACATCGTCAACTTCTATGCAATGACGTTGATAAGGCGCCAGAAGTTCATCTGCTTGCTGGAGTCGTAGCACAGAAACAATGTGCGTGATATTTGCTCGAGTCAAAGCCGTATTGTTCTTGAGGGAGAGGACCCTACAGGGTTGGTTAATGATCGTTCCTTTCCCTTGAGTTGACTCCAGAAGCTAATTCTCTAGTGGCGTGTCGGAAAAGGAAGGTAGAGAGGCAAATGGAAATGAGAGTAGATAGCTGAGAGAAGGAAACTCACCCCCCAACATAGATATTGTGGCCAGGTATCTTGTTCATAGCCATAGTGAGAAAGATGTAGACTACCTATACAATGTTCAATATAGGAAGTGCTATCACAAATCAATAAGTGAGAAGCTGAAAAATGATATGATGCTAAGCGTCGGGCCGTGTCGATGCCATGCTACAGGCGGCGAGAGGGCGAGAGGGGTCTTGAGGGCAGAATCTCAGAATCTGGAAAGCGGTCAAAGTCATATGGGGCTAGGGTATAGGGCAAGGGCAAGGGTAGCCGGGGGGGGAGCGGGAACGGGGAGTTGAACCTGAGGCACGAACCAACCCTCGCCTGTCCCCACCAATGCCGGTCGGTCCACTTTCCAATCCACTCCATGGAAGCCAAGAACTTCTGGATATGATCCTTGATCCTGATCTGGCCATCGCCGCGGATAATTTACACAATTTACACAACCCACCGTCTCCTCCTATCAATTTGAATATCATTCCAATCTCTCTCAGCTCCCTCTTCTCACTATGTGTGACAATGTACAGCAATCCTGGTTCAGCCTACCCATCCCTGCGCCGGGGAAACCCTTCCATATCCGCCGCAGTGCGAGCATGGTCGGCGGCAATGCCAAGGCCGGGCTACAGTCCCAACTTTCGACAGCAGCACTCAAGGCATTATTGATTGATATATGAAGGAGATACTCCGTAGTACTCCCAGAAACCCAACAAGAAAATGTCGAACTCGCTCGAGACCCTCTCCCTCAGCATACCAGATGCATCATCGGCATCATCGTATCAGCCAATCCACACTCATGGCTTGCAGAGGCCATCCCGCTATCTCTGTCATCGTGAATCACTCGTAAGAACGATTGGCCCGCAAACCACCGCCAAGGCCTCTAAAGCAGGAATTGGATTCAGTGAATTTGTTCTTCGTCCTTCGGAGGCGGGAGGTTATGATGCCAATCATGAGGGACACCGGGACATGTCAATTCAGCATGGACATGCAAGAGGCAGGCATGAAAGATTGGGTTCCCTTGTTCCAAGCGAAGCTAAACATCCTGGGACAACTTCGTTTTCCCACCCAAGCATCATCCAAGTCTTGGAGACTGATCATCTTGACAGGGCCAATAGGGAGCCAGGCTTCTTGGTCTCTGCACCTCCAGGCCACTATTCCGAGGTAAATAATGCTTGATGTCGCTTAACGATCCCAGCCAATCAAGGCGATGTCATCCTATGTACGTTACCCAGCATATAGCAGGATCTTGGGCGTGCAATACTGCCTTAGGTCGGCTTACTGCTAAGGCTGCATCGCTATTATCGACGATTCTCGTGTAATCAAACCAGCTAAATGATCCACACGCGCCTTCTGGGCCTCATGATCTGATTGAAAGCGACTAGATATGCAGCATCAAACGGCAGCAGTTGCAGCACGCTACGTGGGAAATCAGTGTTTGTTCTTCATGCAGAGCATCACTCCGTACTACTAGCGCTTTTTCTTTCCTCCGAGACGAGAGATCAACCAACTATGGCTAGTATCATGCACATGCGTATTGCCCTTCTACTTTTTCTTGACTATAATCCAACCCGCTGATTGAGGATGGCGTACCCGCATTGTGTAACGTCTCGGTTCTGCTTGACCGAGATTCGACGCTCTTAACATCCTTCCGTTGTTGCATTGCCCTACGCAAAGGACCGAAATAAAGCCTGCCCTTTGATACATGGCACTACCTCATTGAGCACCCAGGCCTGTGCACGACTGGATTTAGCAGTAGTCTGCAGCCCTTTAAGGCTTAAGGCTGACGGCGCTTTTTGTTGTTTGTTCTTTTCAGCTCGGGGTTTACCCTTTCAATCTGAAACCTTGCATTATTTACTTCTTCTGGCCTACACATATGGCCATGATCAAGTCGTGGGTTTTGTGTCCCACCCCGGCCTTGTCGTGGTCTTCCTGTCCAATCTCCTCCTGGGCCTGTCTGTATGGAGAAGCAGGTCTCTCCGTCCGTGCACGACTTCCATATAAGCTGACCAGATGACTTGCTGACGAGGTCCGGTCGCCTATATATAGACACGGGGCATAAAATGATATTGGTAAGGGTGAAACGTTCAGCTAACTGAACAAGGATCGCAGACTGTATTGGTGATGTGCCAGGTCATCCGTCCGTTTATTCTTTTGGCTGTCCTCGCGGATGGCCAATGATGCGCCAGGTTCCGAAGATCCTGTTTCCGCAACTCTGATGGCAAAACCCTCTTCTACGGTACACTTTGGATGTGATCTCCCTCGTTGTCTACAAAGCGGGCCACTGTGTGATCGAACCAGCCCGCCCTGTCTAATCTGCCACTGCGTACCTACGACCTGTTGATTGACGCGGCGCGTAAGACCTCTTTCCCAAGATGATCAGGTAGTGGGCTGGTATTGAAGCGCAGCTTCATTGTTAGGATTTTTGATATTGGAAAACAACGCAAGTTCAGACCAATACCCCTCTTCCATGGCAGTCCATGAGTAGATGTATCCGTAGTAAGGAGCATACTCATAAGTCGTGTGTCGTACTATGTGAGTTGCCTTGTCATTCCAAATTTGTGTGTCCCCCGTTCAGCCCTCACAAAGCTTTACCCATCGCTTGTTATATCCGATCCGATGTGAGGCGGGCAATAACGACTATAGACACGAGCGAGCACCGACCAATACATTATGTTTGCAAGAGGAGAAATCAGGGGGGTAGCAATAAGAGGCAGTCAGAAGGTCTACCACAAGTTGAGCAAAACAAGATCAGACGCTCCGGCAGGAGTGGTTTCGTGTTTTGTGTATTGTGGTTTTTCTTTTTTTTTCTTTTTTCTTCTCTCTATTTTTCTTTCGCCTCCCGAAGCCCTCCATACCTTCATTGCTTGCTTGAGGACTTTCGCGATTGATCATCCCATTGTCTGACCCTCTGCTTCCAGATCAATTCCCTCCTCAGGACTTAGGCATTGGCTTTTGGTTCTTTCCCTCTCCATTCTGGGTAAACCCCAATCTTCCAAACCAAAAGCTTCTGCTCTCTGCTCATAATTATTCTTCCAGAGCAGGGGAAGAACCTCGGATGGCAAAAAAAAGGTGTGCAACCGGGGGGGGGGGGGAGGGAGTGCCAAATGACAGCACTGTGGCAGTGCATGTATCTAAAGCATATAATGGGGCGCGCTAGACCCTTCTAGGGGGTGGAGCGCGCCCAATAGGGCCACTTACAATTGTTGTTGCTGCGTCCGCACAACGCACGGTGGAGCATGGAGTCCATAGTACATCCGGTGCACTCGGTACCCGACTTTCGTTCAGAGCAGTCCAGGAGTCTAGGTACGTAGTAGGTAAGCCTGGTAAGGTCGTCATGTAGATTATTAAAATTCGAGAAAGGGTTTGGGATGACGCTTAGCGTTATTGCGAGGGGTAGGGTGCAGCAAAAAAAGACAAAAAAAAACAAAAAACAAAAAACAAACAAACGTGACGGGTATTGGGATCGGTTATTTTGCAGATTTTAGGTCTGTATGGGTGGGAATGCGGGCAAGGTGATCTCCATGGTCTGGCTCTGGTATTGTAGCGGAGGACTGATGACTGGGATGTACGGAGTACTCATACTCGTGAAAAGAAAGGCACAGTGCTACTCGAGTACTCGAGTACTACGGAGAGTAGTCTAACTATCTTGCACCTTCGCACCGTTGGGATTCCCAGGAGAGAGGCCCTGACCCGCAGTACTTCCTTCTGGTGGGTTGCAGCGGCCAGTCGAGCTTCCTCATGCGGCGATGCGAAACGATACATATCCAGATCCAACCTACTTATCACTACATGAGGGTAAAAATCGACCTTACCTCAGGAATTAATAGATTCTCAAAAGTACACCAAGTGAGAAAGTGTGGGAAAGTCCACCGAACAGCATACGTAAAAAACCTTGGCTTGAGTTCACCCAATTCCCACCATGGGCGGCTCTATCCGGTACCTCGACTGTTTTGACGACGCTCCGCAGCGGCAAGACTGGATATGGGATGTGGATGGATGGATGGATGGATGGAGTTTGTCCAAACCAGAAAAGCAAGCTGGGATTCGAGGAGACTAAGTCCGAGCCCGCCAGCCCGCCAGCACTGCCTCATTCCATCCCCAGTTCCAATTGTCCTTGCACTGTCACCACCAATCCGCTTAGTCCATGCCCTTCACCGCTCGGGGATCCAGAATCAGTCCTCGAGCTGTGAAGGTCAAGCAAGCTCCACGCTTGACTCGCTTGGACCCATGCTGCCTGGTTCTGAATGATCTTCTCAAGGCAGAATGCCGTAGTATAGTCGATTTCTCCAAAGGCTTAACGGTCATTTTCTGGGTATTGTGGATGGAGAACACTGGGATTCAAACACGTGGAGTCGTTCGTCAATGCAGGATCCCAGGAGCCTTATCGCCTGGGGGGGGGCTTTCGATAACAAAGACATTTTGACACTACGATTTTTATAAACGTCACTCAGTCAGTCAGTCAGTCGAGACGAGACGAGACGAGACGAGACGAGACGAGAAGAGAATAGAGCCAATCCCGAACGAACGAACCCAACCTACCTCCACCATAATCTCAACCCCTGGGCCCCCTTTTTCTTGGATTTGTATGGACTTTTGCTGTGAGCCAATGCCAGGGCTGCATACGGAGTAGAGGGCAGAGAAATCAAAGTGTAGAGACAGGTACGCAGCACGTCGTAACCGAATATACCGAACACACCGATTATACATACACTTCCATAAGGCGGATTAGACTTTCCCTGGCCAGGAAAAGAACCGGAAGAAACACCGCTGACGACATGCATGACTTTTTGCCTCTCATACTGTACGGTACTAGGTTCGTGGGTGTATCCAGGCATGTGTGGTTGAAAATGATCGAGTACTCCGGAGTACAATCATGGATCTAGTGAGCTGATGCTAATTGACACTTGTGAGATTAAGTGTCGACTAAAGCTCCGGCTGATCCATACCTACCAGCCGGTCGGCCCCTTCTGCCATACGGTGTGTGGTCCTGGGTCTAACTCAGATTCGTATCATGGTCATTGATATGATCGCATTTGTCGGTGACAGACAATCAACGAACTGATGATTGATCGAGCTGTCGATTGCCTTGCGCGAAGGCACACAGCTCGGAGGCCCTACAGTCAGGTATGTGTACTCTGTACCTAGGTACTGTATGCCTGTAAGTGCAACTATGCCCCCGGAAGTATGGGACCGCGTATTTTAACTTTGGTAGTACCGCCCGAGTATTGCTGGTATCTGATCTGACCTGCGATCTGGAAATGTATGTCGAGTAGATTTTGCTGCTGCAGACAACCAGATACATTGACAACAACGATAAACAGAACTGTTTATTCTGTAATAGTGTTCTCATCAATTCTATCTCTCTCATCGATTCCTTAATATTGCTGTGACATTGTGGGTTGAGTGAAGTCTGGAAGGTGTCCACCCGGACCAGACTATAGGGTGAAACGGATATTCAAATACAAGGTTTGGTATCAGTGCTGGGGGAACCAATACCTTCATCTGGGTTTTCTGTCCTTTCCTGATCAATTCTCATTTCATTTCATTTCGTTTCATTTCATCCATTCATTCAGTCATTCAAATCAATTCATCCACCCCATTCATCATCATCATTCTTCTGTCTCTGCCTCTCCCTCTGTGACAAGCTCCTTTCCTCCTCGTCCATCCTACCGCCACCACCACCACCACCACCAACAACTGGGCGCTTACACGAAAGGAAGGGGAAAACAAAAAAAAAACAAAACGACTGTGAGACCCAACCGGGGAAACCAGGGAATCTGGTTTGGATTTAACCTTGGGTCTGACAGACAGTCAGTGGTTTTTGGACTCCCTCCCACGAGCCCTTGAGCCTTGTAGGGACCACCAATAAGACTGGGGTTTGCACCACCCATTCATTATTCATTTCTCTCTCTCCCACCTCCAAACTCGCCTCAACTTGACTACTCGCACTCTTCACCAACACCTACAGTTACTACCTTATTACAGCTCCTATCCTTTTCCCTTCTCCGCGCATAACTGCCGTGCAGTACCCAAACTTGGTGTCTTCCTCTTTTCCTCTTCTCTACATTTAATGAGTTTCAACCTTGACCTTCACCCGCATTGCGCCTCCACCCGCCCTTGACCTGGTTCTCTCTTCGCTTCTCTTTACGGAAAGCAGCTGCATGTGACATTCGATTCTCCTTTCTTTTCGCCTCCCTTCTCCATTCATTTACAGCTCCTACTTCTCTCACGCTTTCTACTGCTTGCTCTTTTCCGAACCTCCGGTCACTCCGTCTTCTGGTCGAACAGGCTTGAATCTAGGCCAGAGTAATTCGAAAAGAACTAACATCCTCTAAACCCTCGAGGATCTCGCATGGTCGATCGATTCTCGGTTTCTTCTTCTCGTCCCTGGTTAAACTCCAGAATTCGACATCTAATCGCACTACTTGTTTAAAGCTTCTCAGTATGCTCGGCTGTGTCTGCGCCGTCTTCCGTCGATAAGTTGCCGCTGCTGGCGATTTGATGGCACACAACCGTTTCTCCGGAGTAATGCGCAACTGCGAAAGAACCCCATCGGTATCAAGGACTTTAACTCTTCCCCTCTTTCGACCTCGGAAGTCATTCAGGTACCTCTTGATCGAGGTAAGGCCGACTTGCCTTTTGCCCTAGATATATGAGGTCATATCCACCTGACTTGTCAAGCACCCGAAGACAACTCTCCAACCGTGCGATTGCGGTATCGCTACCGACTCGCCGTTTAAATTAAACCAAGCTGTTCGTTGGTCGCCTTGCAACTGCTATCTAGCATTCGGCATAGTTGCTTGTGTCCAGTGTCGGAAGTTCATTTAGCCAGCCACTTTTATAGCGGCCGCAACGGGCGCACATCTAGACATCGCCACTTCTGTCCAGCCTCAAAACTGCGAGTCTCACTCGCACGCTTCAGCTCTACCTCAGCTTGATCTTTTCGGGCTTGCCGATGAGCAGCTGTTTGTGGTTGTTGGTGTACGATGGACTTGCCGCGAATCTCGCTTCCTTCGATTAACATATACGACTTTAACAAGGATAGGGAGCCTCAAACTTCAAACCTGCCTGCACAGCCATTAGGAACGATGTCTGGAAACTCCTATCCATCCCACGGGCCTATGCCTATTCGCAACAATCTGACTCCGAATTTCGCCCCTCCGCCACTCCCACCGCCGCCCCGAATTAGTGATCTCGAAGACGGCTACGACGCTGGCTGGTTGCACGCGAATTCCCGAGGAACGACAAAACTCGCCCCCATTAATCCTAGCTCGAGCCTGTTCGGTGGTCACCGCCGGCCTGAAGCAGTGTCGCTAAGTGATCGCATGGCTCTCGACGACTTAGACGGCCGGCAAAGTGGGTTCCCACTATCCAGGAGCCCTGAAGCGCACATTCGGAT